TATACATATATGTATATATATATATATATATAAACCCTGTGAGTTTCTAAATATGTACTTCAGGTATAAATGTAGACACAACAGTAAATTATAGGTATATTACATGAGTATTCTTTTCAGCCATGCTGAGAAAGAGACAGCTGAAAAATCTATCTCAGATGTACAGCCTTAAAAAAAAAGAACCTAACAACACAGCATTCAAATAATGCATATAATAAGGATTCTACAGAGGTTTGTCTCATGTTTGTTTGTTTGTTTGTTTGTTTGTTTATATCAAAGTATCTTCACAGTGGAAACACTGATCATCCTTAGAACCAAATTCACATTAAACAAAATTTAGTGCTCTCTTTATATCCACAAGATGGTGTAATTTATCTTTATCTGAGATAGTGGTTTAGAACATGGTGGGTTTGCCCTTTTCAAGTTTGAAATAAAATAATGATACAAAAATCAGTTCACTTCACCGGATGGAAATATGTGCCTTGCATTAAAAATATAACCTGAAATGGCTGAGTTCAGTGTAGGTTTTATAATTCCTGCTTGCTTTCTTGCAGTGAGGCATGGGAAAGAGAACACTGCTCCAAATGTTTCTACTATATTTTTTTTAAAAGGTTTCGCATCACTATTCAGCTAAGCAGGAGAACTCTACCAATTACTACTCCCTCCTCCAGTGGGGAAAAAACACCAAGTTTACTTAACTCTGAACCTACCACCGTGTAAGAAAGAATAGCAGCTACCAATGAGCAGCAAAATGTAATGCCTTACCTAGTGTGGTATTTAGGACTAAAACCACATTATTCTTGCTATAACTTTACTGCATTAAATTGAGTGAATATACTCATCTATAAAATGTTCCTTTCAAGTTTTCTTGTCCTCTCAAGCTTAACCAGAAAACTTCATTCTGCACTCAGTTGCTCGACGTTATCCAACATGATCTCCTTAGAAATCAACAGTCCAAATTTACTGAACTGCACACAGGAAGCACCACACTTCTAAGGAGTTTTCTCTATTTGACTCTTTAAAAAGAGAAGTTAAATAAGGGTGCCCTTTAAGTAGAGCATCTGTAGCAACACAGGTCTCAATTTGCCTCTGAAATGATGGTGTTCTTTGCCATCACACAATTTCTACTATATAATCCAGAAATAAGATTATTGCCCTGGGTTTAGAAGTTCAGCTCCACCAAACTGTCTGAGATTTCACTATTCAGTACTCTTTGGAAGACGGAAAAATAGTAAAGGGGATGAGGAACAGAAAGACAAGGTATACTGATGAAGGCTCCTAAAGTTCCCCAAATTTAGCAATGAAAAAATCACTCCAAAAGCACAATAAGCAAATGGAGTTAAGAATACGCATTTATGAAATTTCTGATGTTCGTTTTTCCAGGCGAAAAATCACTGTGCTTCAGAGTTTCAATTAGACAGAAGCAGATAGTAATGGAATTCTGAATATTTACTCTTTCAGGATCCTGTGAGAAGCAGACATACATTCGCAGGGAATAAATTTTGTTCTTTAGCCAATAACTGGGACTTTTTACAATTCTGATTGCTATAAATCCTTATAAAACACAAACCATGTCAATATTCTTTATTAAATTAGTAGGCCTATTCAAAAAATTGTCAATAATAAGAGCTTTCCCACTACAATTGTGTTGAAATAATTACAAAGTCTGTATTTTGCAGAGAAGCTACTTCGTCAATGTCCAGTAACTCAGGTCGTACATTAAAGAGTGCACATGTATCACACCACTTACTTTTAATGTTGTTTCACACATTGTCTTATAAACCGTTGAGTTTTTCTTCAGGTGCATATAGCTTTGCCAGTTCTTGACAATATTTTACTGATATCCTCTGTTCTTCATTCCTGACTCAACCACTTCTAGCAACTAATTTCTGTCATTGCAATAGTCTTATTTTCAAAAGTTAACAAAAGTTTCTAAGCAAGCCAGCTAAAACTGAAATAAGTAACAGGAGTTTCAAATCCTCCCCAATAAATACGGCAGAAGGGGACAAGAGATCTCAGTAACTGGGATACCAGAAATATAATTTGCTTTATCTTTATGACACCAAAGTACTGCAGTCTTATGCAGTAGTTCATGATTCTTTACAACGCCTTTTGCATTACCTGAACTTACACCATTGATGCCGTAACTGGCACAAGGACAAAAAAAAAAAAAAAAAAAGCCCCCATCTAACTGCAGGCTTTTACCTAAGATACCCAAAGCGAGGATGATTTACATCCTGAACAGAGTAAAAGAGCTTTTGGAGCTTTCTCCATTGACTACAAAGGGAACTTGGAACCGCTGACTTCATAACTTGGGTGTATTGGTTACGTATATAAAGCTAAGTGGGCTGAAACCCAGCTCATTTCTCTGGCTGACTCAACAGTGACAAGCTAAGAAGATATATACATAAAACCTGATAAAGATGACTATTCCCAATGATTAGTGAAGCACATGCAATTGGTTCAGAGAGACCTTTTTGCCACAAAAGATGTTACAAAAAGAGATCTGGTTAACAACAAGGTACGGTATTTTCTCTATGTTTTTACATTTTTAAATAGAAAGAAAGCAGATAAGAAAGAGGACTGAAAAAAAAAATGGATGATCTAACTTCTTACTAAACAGGACAAAATATTCTTAGTACTAAGAAATGTTAAAGAAATGAAAACATGACTAAACAGTATGTTTTTGCTGTAGGAAATTGTTGCCCTATTGCAGATGAGGAAGGAAAGGACAGAGAAGTTCTACAGGAATGTTCTCATTACAATGAGGTTTTAATTATCAAGACGATTGCAAACCCTTGACCTGTAACAGAATAGACGCAAAAGCAAAAACCAGGCAAAACTGAAGTCTTAACAATTCAGAGTTCCACTGAACTCTTGCTAGTTATCTTACCGTTAGTATATACCACCTTTTAAACTTACCCCTATAAAGCCCAAAGAAACCTTCATAACGTAGCACTTTCTTGAAGCAATCAAAGCTGTTTTTATACATAAGTTCTCCCACAAAAGAGCCTGTAGAGCGCTGGTTTTGCATTCGAGTTTTTACCAAATCAATTGGGTAGACTGCAGTGGCTCCAACAGCTGCAAATAAAAATCAAGCTATAAGAAAACATGATTTTGCATTTGCAGGGTTTGACTGCAACTGTCATCTTCCACATTTACATCTCAAATCTCAGTTGTATCTTTCTTCTCCATGATATATTCTGGATACATTAAACTACCTCCCACAGTTTTAACCAGAAGCACTGCCTGGCCCTACTTCGTTATTAATCTGATTTTTCTGAAACTGGTTCAGTGACAAATGAGATAGCAACACCTCCTGTAAACTGCAATGGCTCATAAATTCCAGAACTCTTGTAGAACAAATGACCCCTTCCACTTCAATCTTATAGTCATCCCGTCCCTTAGACACGGCTCCAAGGGAAAGACTGAGAAGCCTTCCACACTTAAATAAAAGGCAGAAGGGGAAGAAGGGCAGAAGGAAAGAAGAAAAACCCCAAACAGTGAAGACGAATATTCTTTTGTTCAGCCATGACTAACCTCCAGCAACCGAACCAAGGGCAAACCTGTACGCTGATTCTGCAATCTGGATGAGAACAGGTCGAGACACATCGCCTGGAGCTTTCTGTCAAGGCAGAATTTAAACCAAAAGGAAAGACAAGAAAAATAATCAGAACACCGTATTTCACAAGAGCACATCTCATGATCAGACAGATCTAAGTACAAAGACACCTGGAGAAAAAACCACAATACACTCAGGATTTTGTTTTCAATTATTTCTTTTCTGCTGATTTCTAAGTGCCATATAATGTAGCTTCTTCAGATTGGAACAGCAAAGAAAAGACTGATACTACAATAAAATTACACAACTCCAAAATCAATGGTCCAAATGTACATACGAGGGCACACATACTGCATCTTAAGTCATTAGTTTTCTACGGCTAAAAGCAACTCCAGTTTGGAATTAGTTTCTACTGTCACCAAAAGAGGTATACTTATTACTGCTCAAGCTATCAACACAAGTATGCAAGCATTGTTCATACATACTAGCTAACGGAAAATAAGATTTCGTAAAGCACCCACACAACCTCATTTTGCTCACAGTCCACAAGTGAAAAACCCAATGAAAAAGAAATTTCCTAAGTGCTCCAGATTTAAAATTGCTATCTAATGAAAGAAAAGAACTAGGAAAACAGAAGTTCTGCAGGTGTGTTAAGTCCTCCATGCTCTCTAACACTTTTCATAATACTTTTTTTTAGGATGCTACAAGTAAAAGGACAAAATAAAAATATGGATATACTTTTTCCTGAAAATGTGTTTAGGTTTTAACTAATATTCCAACATAGCTGGAGTTGGACAGAAAACAAATTTAAGGTATCAACGTAGCTGAAAATCTTTTCAGTCTCAGCATCGCACAGTTGACAATAAAAAGGAATTGGATGGAAAAATGAAAAGGTAGGACACATACACAGAAGAAATGGTAAGATTTAAGCAGGTCCATATGTTCTAGCCTCTTAAAATGGAATAAATCATACAAGCAAAGACAGGGGCCTCAACGCAAAAATTGAAGAAGCTGCTACTTTCACCACCGCATTTTTGGCTACATTTTACTGCCACCTATTGTAACTTACATTACTTGATATTCAGCCCAATGCAAATGCTTTGAACTCCTTTAGGAGTCTTCTAGGAATAGATGGAGAGCTTTTGGGAGCCAACTCATATGAATTCATCCCAGCATAGTCAATATTTAGTCACTGCTCAAACAAACAGAAAACCACCACCCTAGATACTGTCTTGGAGTGCTGGTGGGGGTGTTCACATGTAGGGGAAGGAGGATAAGAAGAAAGAGAAGCAAAAGAGACACATGTGTATACACACACACACACACACAGGCCTGGCTTATGGCCTGGCAGTCCTAAAAATGTAGCCTCCATCAACTCATTGTGGTCAAACTGGCGTCTCTGCACAGACCCAGAGCAGGAAAAAAAAAAAACAGCAAAAAACCCCTTAGTTTCACAAGACACAAAGTTAAGAGTGCCTTAAAATAGAGACACAGAGAAACAGAAACAGAGGGTTAGTTTTAAATCTATCTGTACAGAAGCTTGTGTCAATGAAAATATAAGATAGGCTAAAATAATACCAAAACTAAAAGATCAACAGTTTTGACATTCAAAGAACACTCCTATTTGGTTTTGCCTCAATCACAACAAAAGTTCATTTGCTGTTTTTACCATCAAAAGACAGAGGATATTAATGCTTTTACTGAAACTGTGATGGTAGACTAAACATAATCTCCCCTATTTTGATATTCAGCAGAGCATAAGGCAAAGCTGAGAATACTCAGAAGCCAGGAACATACAGCTGTGTTCAGAACAAGGGTTACCATTTAATAGGCTAGATACTGAATTTACCATCTATATTTGAAGCAGAAAGTCTTCTTTCCTCATTAAAAAGAACAGAGAGCAACAGAATAACAAAACATAAACACCTTAATGAAGTATACACCTAATATTTACTGAATGGCTGGGTGACACTCATATACATTTTATCTTTCCGAAGTAAATTACATTTACCTGTCAAAATGTAGCCCAAGAGAAAGGGGCAGAGAGAAGAGATGAAGAGGACATGAGACAGGTTATCCTCTCAGATGTTACAGACCACAAGAGAAAAGCAACGGAGCTGACAACACAGATAGAAGTTGGCTATCTATTTACCTGTTACTGGAAACAGATAATAACATCATACTGGCTTCTGTTCTTACCTGCCTCTGAGCCTCAGCCAGGTTGTAGGGCAACGTCCCCTCCTCCAGAGGAGCAATTCTTTCAATATCAGCTAATGTCATGCGCCTGAGGAAATTACTTCAGGTTAACGTTTGCTTAGATATGGGGTTTCAGATCACAAGAAGTTACCTTCACATGACCACTATACTACACTCTCCCACTTCCCAGCACCACATGCCACTCTTTCTGAGGAGGAGAGAGGAGGACAGACAATTCTTCACTTACCCCCGTGGCTCATACAGATCTGCTAACTGAAACAAGATGTCAACTTCCATGGGCGTAACCTGACCAAATTTTTGAGCTGCCAGAACAAACTCCTCTGCAACAGAATAAAAATACAGAAAAGAAGAACTAATCAAACCAGAACAAGTAATCCAGAGCACCCCAGAGTTGCTCTGTATTCTAGTATTAGGTAGAAGATGCTGGTGGGGGCAGTAGAAGAGGAATAAAAGTGACCCACCACAGAAGTGTTCCTACCACTACATAAACGCATGTTTTAAATGGTATATTCTTCATGCAAATAAGTACAACTCTCTGGTCTTGAAGTTTAGCACTATCAGCAGGATTTAGGATATTTGACATAAGGTATCAATCAGTTGCGGGTCAGAGGGAAAAAAATCAAATAAAAGGCAAACAGAAAAAAAACCTCAGGAGTCAAGAGATGTGGAACTTTTCATGCATAGTCCCAGTAGGCCACATTAATGAAACTTTGGCATTGCACAGGGAATTCTCTATAAAAGTGGTTAGATATAGCAGATAACATCTTGTTCTAAGCTTGTAGATCAGCTTACTGTGCCGCCAATACAAGTTTATGGAATTCTTCAGCTACCCTTAAAGGTCACTTTAATAGGCTGCCAATTTGGCAGGAGTCCTAGGAAGTTTTTTAAACTTTTAAATATCTTTACATACTTTCCTCACCCTGCCCCCACCGCCAGTTTACTAGGACCTTTTTCTGATTGAAACAAAATGAAAAACCTGGAGGGTGGACTCCAACAGGAGCATACAAAACTGAGTGGCATACCAAGCAATGCTAACGAGGCAGGCTTTCTCCCCTCCCATGGATTTAAAAGCATACAGATGAGGTCTTCCCCTCCACCCGCCCCAACGAAACGCCCAAGGAGACTTCCAGGCTGCTAACATTTCTACCGACCCTTAGTGACTTCCACATCTTTTCTATTTCCAGCCAGCGTACTGTAGATCTTCCTAATGAGCTCCATGTTGTTAAGGAGAGAATTAAATCCATTAAAATAGGAAAAGCTGACCTGATGGGAAGTGGTACCTCCAGCAGCCTAGAGACGAGACAGTAAAAGAAGAAAAGATAAAGATGACTGTGAAAAGACTAAGAAGATCTTGAAATAAAGGCTTTCAAACAACGTTATTTTACAAGAGCGACAGTAGCACAGGGTTGCTTTTTTTAAAAAATGAAACTTACAAAATAAGGAAAACTATGAAAGATTCTTATGTTACTGAAACTAATCATGACCAGAACATAAAAGTCTCTCCACCCTACAAAACTAAACAAATACATATGCAGGATTATAACAACACAACTAGTAGTAATTTACAAAGTTCAAGTTTCAGTACTACTTCAGTTGGAAACGTTTCATAAGTTAGCTTATTTCTAGTAATGAGGAAATCTACTTCTACATGTAAAGTATATTACTATACAGAAAACTTCAACAAAATCAAAACATATTCTGAAAAAGCTCAGCTGAAACATTTAAATTCACAGACACTTCAAGTCATGGAAGACCAGCAGTAAGCTCTCAGGCTTGTATCAGGCAGTCAAACAAAATGGGAACAACAAGAGTCAAACAGTCATTCTCAAACGAGAACTGAGCCTAAACCTCTATTTTAAAGTGGTGTTGGGTCTGCACACAGAAAAATTATTGGATCAGTTCCTTATTTAAAGCATAACATTGGTGATCAAGCAAATTTCTGAAAACAATCTGGGAGCTTGCCAAAATTTAATTGACCTTGAGGGAGAATAAAAAATCTTATGTTTTATGACAAAGTATATGACCCAGGAAAGCTGATAAAGAGAGTGGGGAGAGAATTGAGCAAGAAAGTACGAGAAATCATTGTCAGTCCCTAAGTCTTCTGGCTATCCTTTTTGCTGTATGCTTTTTCCAACATTTTGCCCAGAGTTTGCAGCTCTCATTACTTCACACATCTCCCAGGAATTCTCCCTTGCAAGTCAAAGCAGAAAAGATTTCTTCAAACCTGGATATGGCGAGACTTTGGATTACTTGGAAAGAGCTGCTACAAATACCCAAGATTAGAAACTGATCTAAGCCGAGTGTACCTTTTTGTCTTCAATGAAATTGCAGAATTGTAATATTTAATTTGGTTTATGCATTTCAAGCTGAAAAAAGTGTACACTCAAGTGTAACAACTATCAATTAATACACAGTGAATGTCCTTGGGTGATGTTCCAGTTCATACACTGTTCCAGGTCCTTGGAAATTACACTCAGGAGCTTAGAACTGACATTACAAAGCAAGTCCTTTCAGGATGACTTCTTAAGTGGGATGCATTGGCTTTCTGACATATTTGACACAGTCTACTATGATGGAATGTCCAGAAATAGTCCGGTAAACTCCACATTTGTAGGCCATTACCTGCTTTATCTTTTGTCTCAGGAGACTAGAACACTGAAGACACATATTCTGCCAACGAAAAGGGCCAACTTTCATAAGCGTAAATAATAACTGCTAAACTTAAAAACATGCATCTGTAAGCTGTACTACATGCCACATATAGCAGTTGAGGTACATAAAAAAAGGAATCCCTTGTCTGTATCCCAGATCTTTCCCAGCTGGGATACCAGAGCTACTCACAGCTACTAGACATTCTTCTACAAATGGTGTCAGCATGTGTGGCCGGATAGTGACCATAATGTCTCTGAAGTCCATAGCTGTGACTCTTCCAGCCTGAGCATTGTCGCGCTGCACAAAAGCTTGTTTTGCATGTTCTAATTGTATCTCCTGAAAACATATGGGGGAAAAAAAAAGTTAGATTCAAAATCATCACTTTAATAGTTATATATTACAATCCTACAAGATATCTCATACTTAACAAAACACAATAACATGTAATCCAATTTTAATTGGATATTGTATGTGTAACTTTCAGCCTATTCTATCATGGCACATATGGTCTCTATCATGGAGCTCAATATCTAGGACAACCATCATGATTTCTCTGCTGTTTGGACATTAGGTCACGCAATTCATTTAACTGAAAAATGGAGGGCACGTACCAACAAAGCAGTACAGGTAATCTCCCACTCACGAACATTAAAGTGTTCCATGATGTGCATTATCCAGTTTATTGCATGTGTCACAGCAGGCCAAAATACTTTCTGTAAAAGAGTTTGCTACTCCTCGAACGAGGACAATGCAACCATCAGAGATTTCCACATAGACACCCACTAACCTTGAAAGCATTCCCTCAAAAAGCATCCTCATTTAAAACATAAAGTTATTTGCCTACAAAAGACCCCAGCTGTTTAATTTAGAACTCCTTGTATCACGACTGATTAAAGATCCGTTTTCAATATTTCAGCAGTAGGAGCTGGCAGAGATCAATCACAAGCATTATCTGGCGCAACCAACTGATAACCTCATTTTGTGATTCAAATGTACCCCTGAGAGAAGAGGTGAGAAAAAAAGGCATTTAATCTCTCAAAACTGTAGCTTTTCCTACTGTGACCTTCACCCTTTCTTCATAAATTACTGTTAGACTACTTTCTCATTTTTTTATTTGTCACGTAAAAGGAACAATCCTGCACAGACAGGGACTTGATAATACGTACGAAGTTCTTGTTTAGTCCTTCAGGTTTACCAAACCAGAAATACCTTTTGGTGATGTAGGTAGACTTCTTAATCTATATTTCTTTGCTGAATGGAGGAAAACAAATCATTGCCATGTCTTCCCTTTAAATTTCAAGGCTTATAAAATGTTTTCACTGGAAATACAGTGCTTAGTCTAAAGAGATGTTCATAATCAAGTACTCAGAAAATGGAATCAGAGCAAAAGTATGTCAGAAGTACTAAGGAAGTCTTGCAGTGGACCATGACACTATCCTATTATTTCCATTATATTTGCAAATACATGCCTTAAAAATCATATTAAGCCAAGACTAAGGCTACTCAAGAATCACCAGCACGATGGATTAACGGTGAATACACTCTCCTGTAAGACGATATTTATCTCACAGCAGCATTCAAGAGAACAGAGAGTGAAGGGTGAAAGGCAAATTCGGCCGGCACAGGATCAGACCTGCCGGAGGCCTGCAGCCCCTGTCCCTCCTGCTCATTCAGCTCATGCTGCAGCCCCCAACGCACACTGCCCTTCAAACCAGGCTCGTCTTCTCACTTCAGTCTCCTGACCTCTCCACTTTGAGTTCTAATTTCTAATTAAAACACCTGACCCGAAAGGTATGATGAAACCCTTGTAATACGTTAGGCAGAAGTAAAGGGAGGGAAGGGGACTAATCAGTGTTTCAAAACTGAGTTTTACTCACAGAATTATTCAGAAATTTCTGCTTTTAATGAGAAATGCTTGTGGGGGTTATAATTTGAAGTGTTACAATTGCAGTTCTGTCACGTTTCCCTTACATTACAGCCCCCTGTGCGGAGGTGTTACAATTCAGCAATAATATTCACTCTGGCTGGATGCAGCCATGTAAGCTCTTGCTTCACTCCAATTGTGACTATAATTTCAACAGAAATTTGGAAGGAAGCAATTTAGGGAGGTTTATGGTGGGAGAAGCACAAGAACACTAAAAAAAACCTTGTCACCTTGAGGCAGGCAGCTACTTGGGAAGCAGAGAGCTCTGAAGAGGAGTTAGGTATAAACTCCTGCATCCCTAAATACTCACCACCTGGCAGGTGGAAACATATGAACAAACAAACAAAAATGTTTGTCATTAAGTGGCAGCATCACCAAAGAAAAAATAAACTCAGTTTAGCAGAAGGATTACATGGGAAACTGTGAATGTTGAATGTTGCTTTCTTCTCCTTCTCTCATTCAATTTGTTTTAACCACTGAAATTTCTGGCAGTGTTGTGCTGTCAGAACCCAGCACTAAAATGCAGTAAAAAACCTGGACACCACTTGCAGAAGTCCAGTCTGCTACCATCTATGTACACCCATCAGTGAGTTTGGAGGTATGTATACCAGTTGGTGGGACCGTGGCTGAGAACATCTCAGCCGTGGAAGCAAAGCAGGGCTCATGTTCCAAAAAGATACGTTAAGTGCATGTTTCTTGTCATCGCCTAGCTAACTGCAAAAAGGCTGTTAGTACTACAGTGAAGGACAAGCCAAAACACCCCATCCTCTCCTTGCTCATGTGATTCCTTTCAATCTTCTTGGTACATGTGGACCCCTACTAGAGAGAATTATCCCACTTGGTTAAACTTATGGTCAAGGACTCAGTGCTGCCATTTGCCCATGTTCTCATCAGCTAGGAAAGAGATGCTTAGCTGTAGATAGACAGCAAAGACAAAACAGTGCACAGGATGAAGGCAGTCTTCTGGAGCTCCCTATTCGACCCTCCTCCTTAGTTCAGAGACAAAATGGTTTAAGCATACTACAAATAAATGGCCTCAACCCCGCTTCTCAGAAAGGTAGGGTCTTTTCAGGCTATGGTTATTTTGAGCTGCGATACACATTTTCCAGTTTCACCGAGCAGAAAAAAAGCACTGGGACCCTCAGCCATGTGACATTCCCAAATCACGACCATGGCAGCAACACGGTATACAAGAACATGAAGACCATTACATGGTAACACACCTAGCCTCAAAACTAAATTTCACCTATAAAGTCTGTCACCAAAAAAAACCAGACAGATGTCACTTGTCTAATCACTGTACACTGCATAACAACATAATAAACTCCTTAAAGTGTTTAATTCAAAAGAGAGGCTATCTATTCCCTTGGTCTCCAAGCCTGAAAGTTGAAACTTCTCACAGCATGATTAACCACGTTTCAAAATGAGTCTCAGAAGCTACAAGCAATTTAACAGGGAACTCTTTAGGAGATGTTACTAACATCGCCTATGCTGTGTATAATATAAAAAACAACACTTTAAAAATAAACTGAAAAACAAGAAAGCCAAGTTGAAGAGTTTGGAGATGCTATCTGACTTGCAATAATTTTTATTGTTTCACCTATGTCAGTCCAATAGATTTTGCCTGGACAGACTAAGGTTTAAAGAAATACAATCCTCTTTGCTTTGCAATACAAATTCCACATCCTAAAGAACCTTCACCAACTCGACTTTCTGTAGACTTAGGTGTATTTAGAAAACAAGCTTCTCCCTTGATGCTGGAAGTCCAGAATTCCCCAAGGCAGCGGAAGACTTCGTGGAAAATCAATTTGCACATCATGGCAGGCATGCTGGCACCAGAATTTTCATGGAATTAATTCCTATTTAGAGATTTTACCTCAGCTTTCACTTACAGCTTATTAAAAGCATCATTACTTTCCAGTTAGACAAAAATTTATGTTTGGGTTCCATCCCAGTGGACCTACAAGTAATCAGATACAGCACAATCCTTTTCACTGCAGCAGATCCTGGCATTCAAATACAAAAAGTACTACTACATCAACTAACATGCTGGGCACAAATAAACTCCCAGACAATGTGGAAATGGATTTACCAGACTCACATATAAACATATGCTAAAATTCATCCAACGGAATGGATTTTACATGCGGAAAAAGGGGCCAATGTTGCTCTTCATGAACCAGACTTGCCATTTAAATGATGATGGAACATGACTATATCCAAAGAGACACAGATGTGACAGACATCTAGTGGAGACACACAAGTTAATTTTAAGGTAGCAAAATGAGAAGCAGGGTAAATCAACACACCTTGAGCTCTGGGTTGATGCAAATAGATTGTTAACTGTACTACAGCCAAGTAGTTTGGAGGCTATACTTTTGGGCATCTCTGTTACTGTAGACAAAACAAGTGCTGACAGGATATAAATATTCAGAATCCCATATAAACTCTTCGTATTTAAAGCCAGAAGAGATCCATCTTGTCCATGGGTAAAATATACTAATGTTATTTTCCACGTACCTTCAGCTTTGCCAGAAGAGATGATTAGCCCAAATGCTGTGACAGATAATGAATATGTAACAGCTTTATATGCCATAATAGGACCGAACGTAAATGAATTTGAACCTAGCTGGATTATTTCATTACAAGTTGCAAATTGTATTGTACTTACAAAGCAGTACCCGAAGCGCCTTACAGAACCATCTGGTCCATGTTAAGTGCAATGTAAAGAGCATTCACACATCAGAAATGCTGAAAGGTAATTTGGTATCCACTGTGGTCTCCTGCTGCCCAAGGTCCAAGGTCTAGACATCAGACCAAGGAGACTGACTCATGCACAGGCAGAACGTGAGAAGGAAAGGCTGAGTACCAAAGGTTACAGAGCCTAAAGGATGATTTCTATGCCTGGGAAAATTAACCCTTCAAATTGTGCTGAGAGTCATCTCTGTGCCCAAACTTCAGTATCTATAATACAATGCTGCAAGGCAAGAGTCAGCAAGGGAAGTTATGTGTTTTAAAAATTACAGTTCTAGAAAGTGGGTAAACAGATGTGAGTGACTGAGCATCCTAACAGACTGTACTGATCGTGGACAACTTCAGCAAGGTCTTAGGACAATTCATTTATTTGAAGGTCCCTGCCGCCTGCAGAAATGCTGAGAGTATCTTTATTAGCAGCCTTAGAATTTTTCTTGAATGCATCTCACCTCTCTAAAGGACACCCAGAATCGTCATCATTATTCTCCATGTTTATGCTTTTCCTCCCTCTTTCTGTCCTATATGGATCATCACCAAAAGGGCTGTCTGGCTTGTGAGGACCACTGATGTGTTCCAGCACAACCTTTTGCTCTGCACTGCAACTAGCTAAGATTCACTTTTGCAGTAAAGTTGGGTAAAAAAAAACAAAAGCAAAACAAAATGAGGCAGAGGCAAGCCACACCAAAACCAAATAAAATTCTCAGAGAAGAAATATCCTTTCAGACATGGAAAGAGGAACACTCCTCCACAGGATGAGAAAGCCTAGTAGTTAGGACTCATCTCCAAAGTTAGAAAACTCCTGCCTCAGCTCTTGCACTTCCTAATTCAAAGAAAAAACACTAAAGAAACCAAAGACACAAAGAAAGAACTAAAATCTTTCAAATACCCAGCCATGAAGCTACAAGCTCTTTTAGGACGGTGGCTCTAACCTCCCTCACTACTTCCCCCCCCCCCCCCCAAATTTTGGCAAAAAAAGTGTCCTTTTTTTTCATTCTGGGGTATTCTCCAGGTTTTCCTCAGATCACTAAACAAACAAATACATGAGGCAAAGAGGACTGGAACTCTGTTAGGAGTGTGATTTTAATCCACCAAACTCAGGATACATATCCAGGGCTTATTCTGTAGTACAGAAGGAGGTACTAGAACACCAGAACATGTGGCCAGAGGCGTTTCTTCCTAGTCAGGTAACGCATTTGCTTTTTTATCCAAAAGAAGTTCTACTTCATTGTCCTGTCACAAAACTGGTTTATGTCTTAGCTACTAAGGAGTTACAACAGACAATGCAAAACCTAAGGGAATATAATTTAATCATGTGATACCTGACGTCCTCTTCATACAAAGTTAATTAGGCTCTGTTCTACAAAGTCAATTTGAAACATTTGTCTCAATAGCATTATCTTAATTATTCCTCATCAGAATGATACCACCTCCTACTGTGAACTAACATACTTGTGTAAACAAGAAAAAAAGACATCTTGCAGTCTGGAAGCAGGTTCCCATTTTGAAACTCTCTAGTGTAAATACTAATATAGGCATTAAGTATTCGTAAGGAATACAAATAAGAAACTCACGTGTTTCACCACTTCAAGGATCACTTTTCCTACTGAAGACTATTTTTAACAGTACTGCTGAAATACGGATAATCTGTTTATTTTTTTTAGTAGCAAAATATTTTACTTTCTGTAATAAAGTACCCTGAAGTATGAATAGCCAAGAACTCTTGCAAAAGAAAGATAGCATTTTATTCTCTATACACCACAAGCAAAGCTAAGCAGTATTTCCCTATCTGAGATACTCTTAATTCAAAAAAGGTCAAAAGTGTGTGGAACGGGCTTGCAGCAAAACATCTTTATTGGATATCAGCACTGAATTAAATACAAGTTTGGTAAACATGCGGTTTACAGACAGTGGTACTTCTTCATACCAGTCTGGCAAATGAGTCCAAAAGGTTCAGTACTGTCACTTAACATTATTTGGCTCATGGATTTAAATATACAGGAGATTTTCAGACTTTAACATCCATGTTTTTAATTTCATGTCTCTGTCTAGACAACAGTGTAGAAAATATCACGTTCTCACAGGTGCCAAAAACCAAAGAAAAGGAAAAAACCAGCTAGCCTGAATCAGCAATTTTACCATAAGCATATCCTATTTATCAACACACTATTAAAGCCGAGCACTCTGACTGTAAAAGCTTCCATTTGGTCTATCTTTCAACTTTCCTACCAGCATGGTATTTGGCAAGTTTCCAAATACTTTGATTCCTGCATCCTTATTACTCTTGACAAACTGTATTGTATTAGACCCACCAGTAAAAACTGGGTGAACTCTGCATACGTTAGGTGCCTTTTTCTATCCTTTCCAAAATGCAGCTGTACGAACTCTGAATTCCAGTTAAATGGAATGTGCTGATGAATTGTGGTCTGGCCAAAAACTTGCTTAGCGTCCTCTGGGAAGAAAAGAAAAATGTTCATTTATTAATAAAATGAAATAACAATAGAGACAAGCATATACTTACACAAGCAAAATGAATATGATATTTTCTAACAGGAAAGCAATATTATTTGTATAAATTAGCAACATATTCCAAAGCTAATCTAATTTTTTTGTTTACCAAAATCATAATAACATTTTGAACACACAAATACAGTTCCTGAATAATCTTATTTGTGAAGTTTTACACTCACAGCATTTCATTAGAAGAGACTCAACTAGATATTTCAAGTTTCAAAGTCAAGCAAGAAAAGATTAAAATTAAAAGACAATTTATAAAAAGATGACTAACCAAGTTTCAGCATAATATGTCCGAGCTGCTAACAATTAAAGTTTTGTGTCACTATAATTCAGGCTTCTTATTCCCAGAGTTGTCCACATTCAAACAAATCAACTACAAAAATACCTGCATTTCAAGACCTACTTTTCTGTAGTCACCTTACAGAAGCAGTGACATGCAGGGGAGGGGATGGGGGGGACATGGCAGGCAGGAACACAAACTCATCACCACCTCCAGCACTAAGCAGACTTTAATCTTAGACCTCTGCTACACCGAGGGGGGCAGCATGACAAGTTTGTTTCATCACACCGAAATGTCATCTTCATAGTTTAACTCAGTTTAGTAGTCGTAACTGGGCAATAGCTTATTATGGGCTTGGGACACTTTTTGGTAATACACAGCATTTTTGGTGAAGAAACAACTCTTTGAAACACATCAAGTTGTACAACCAGTAAAAAGGACCATCCATTGATGGACCAGGACTGTACATATTTTAACTAATGGAAACGTTATTAACAATATCTGAGGAAGTACTTGTCTCACATGACAGCACCCACTTCAGTGTTATAGTCTGTCTCAGCCAAAAACATAGTGCAAAAATATCTTCCAAAGACAAGCTCAAGGCTAGAGGTTCCCAACTGCTGTATACCTTCCTAATTGCCGTACGACTCCTTCAGCAGCACCAGCCAAGAGCCAGTTCTTGTCTCTTGCTAGTTCCTGCGGGCATGGAGAGCTGGTTCCCAAGAGACACTCCCCACCCACAGGCAGGGCCAGGAGCTGGTCTCCTGCTCCCTTCACGCTTTGCAGAAGAAAGACCAGGGGCCCAAACCCAGAGCTCCTGGAAGTGAGGAAATCAGCAGAGCTTTGTGCCTGCCTGTGTGCAGAACAAGCTGGGAGCCACCTCACCGGAGCCAGCCTCTGCCCAGCAGGCAGGGCTGGGAGCTGCCTTCCAGCTCACCCCAGCACCACAAGCATTGGTGGAAGCCGACTCTTTGGAGCTGTGAGGTCCCGGCTCTTGCACAGGTTGAGTTGTGGCTCCTGGTTCAGCCCATGCCAGCCAGACGCAGCGGCTCTGCTGACGAGGGAAACCTAGTCAGGGTGAAATTCCCACTTCCAGGCAGGGAAGCAGGAAAAAGTGAGAGCGGGGTGGGATGGCTGAGAGCCAGGAAGATGTCACGAAGTACCCAAGGGAATGAAGGAAAAAGGCTGTCCTGGGTTAAGCTGAGACAGAGCTAACTTTCTTCATAACAGCTAGCAAGAGGCTGTGTTTGGATTGGTGCTCAGAAGAAAGCTGACAAAAAGTGATGTTTACATGGCTGCCAAGGTCCTTCAGCTTCTCTGGCTGTCTGCACACAGGAGAATCTGGGAGGAAGCCCCAGTTACTAGCCCAGGATTTGATCTTAGGTTCGGGATTGAGACCCAAAGTGGCCAATAAACTATTCCATAACATACACGTCATGCCCAGTATATAGGTGAGGACCCTCTGGTAGCTTGTCCCTTTTTGTTCCAGATCTCTTTTGCTCTGGGTCACCTCAAGCCAGGTGGTCCCTTCATGTCCCCTCTGTAAATTGGATTTAACGTACGGACAGAAAGACTGACCCCAGTTAACCTGAAATTCTTAAAATTCAAAACTTCAAGCCCTAATGTCCTAAGATAATTTTCTCCAAGCAACATCAGACAGTGCCCCCAGGACAGCATTGTTCATTCATGTGTTCAAGCTCCACCACAGCCAGCTTGGATCTTGTCTGCCAGCATTCTCCAGGAGAAAATTCTGCTCTCAGGGCAACAGGAGGGAAAGCCAACTGGTTCAGGGTGAGGCCCTGTCCCTCTACTGAAAGTCTTTTATTTAGGATGCTTTCTACTGACACAGCTCGAGGCATCTTGCCACGTCATTGGAGGTGACCTCCATAAAGTTCCTGCTTTCTGTCAGACTTCTTTCCCCACCCCTCAAAGAAGGGAACCAGCATGAAGACAACAGACTGTTGTCCGCAAAAACAAGGAAATGAAAGCTGTCTCTTTCCAGCAGCAACCATTTTGCTTTTGCAGAGGAATGAGGATATTTCCAGAACACCTCCAATACCTGTCTCTGGCACAGAAATCAGATGCTCATCTGCTTCCTCTTTCTCTCCCATCCGATCTCCTGAATTTCCCCAGAACAGACACTGATGTTGTTTGGACGAGATTAGGAACAAGTCACTGCTTACTAAAAGCTATGCTTGGTTCGACTCCAGATTTGTCTTTGTCAGAGAAAAAAGGTGCCTTCTTCCTTGATGCGAGTTAAGATATAGGAAAATCTTAGCTAATACAAAAGCAGTCTCAAATTCCTTTTGATGGGTCCAGGCTTCTCACAAACTTTACTTCAACTTGTTGATATATGAAAGTCACAGAGTGTCCTCTGAGTACGCCACTGTAATTTTATTTTAATTAATTATCATACATTAGCTATCTTGCTCCCCCAACTCTGTGTCTTGTAAACCTTCCTTAGTCGTGGCCCAAAAGAGAAATTCCAACTCAAGAAACTCAAACATCAAGAAGTGAAAAGAATGGTAATTTCAGACTAAATACGATGTTTAATTATTTCCATTACAAATGGCAAAGGAACTCACAGCAATGGAACTTAAAACTTCATCAAGCCAGCTAGGAATACAGCAAGGTATATACATATCTGGGGCATTTGCATTCCCTTATCTATTGTAGAGATAAAAGGCTACACACATGCCTCAGAAGTTCACAGAAGTAGAAATATCCTTCCAACCAGCCCAGGAAGGAGCTGTACACTTAATTTTTGCTATGATTTGGAAAACACAGACTACCACATTAGTATAGGTATTTAGTACAATAGCAAGAAGATTCCCTACCCTACTTGAGCTTTTCAAAATCATACTCTATATTGATGGCAATATGTCTTAGCAACTAATACCAGGTGCTTTTCTGACAGAGTGCATGTTGGATTATACAGTGCAGGAAGCTGACTGGGACTGCCGACTGTGCTACTGATTCCTTGATGGCAGGAGACACCGTATCCTGTTTGCCACTGCCTTTTTACGCATACCCTCTACTTCCTTTTCACAACTATTTATGGTTCACAAACTCCTATATACACTCAGTAGACAGTGGTTTTCCTCTTTCCTCACTAGTCTCATCACCCACTCATCTACAACAGTGTCACTGACTCAAGCTTTGTCTGTAGTCAGATTGCCCAATTCAGGCATTAAAGACTATTCGTGCTCCATGAACAAATCTTAAGTGTTTCAGCCTGTCATTTAACCATCAAAATGTATCCAATTACATACTAGAACTCATTCCAAGTTATCGTTCAGTTCTAACAGTATCATCTCCTAATCATCCAAGTACACTACTAAAATAAGAAACTGACAACTTTAAAATGTATTTCACCTCAAACCTGCAGCTGAAGTTCCACAGCTATCCACAAGTTGCTGAATCAAACACAGTAAAGAAAAGCAATGTCCTTCAGAGGCCAAGAGTTATTTTGTTTGTTTAGATCATGTTTCAAAAGAAACAGTTTCACAGAGCCACAGAATAATTTGTGATGGAAAGGACATCTGGATGGACAGTACAACCTCCTGTCAAAGCAGGTCCAACCAGTTCAGGTTGCTCAGGTCTGTGTCCAGCTGAGGTTTGAATATCTCTAATGACTGAGATTCCAAAACCTCTCTGGACAACTGCAGTTTCATCTTAAACCAATATTTAATCAAAATTGATAAACTGAAGGTTTTAAGTCCATATTAAAACACTGTTTATTTGTTTTCATTTCAAAAAGACAAAATGTCAATGCTCCACTGTCGGGAGCTGTAAGAGCACAAGATCTAAAGCTAGCTAAAGATACAGCCATTTCTGTGTTTGCATTGTTTGAACCAGAGCTGCTGGAAAGCAAAACAAACAACAGGTTGAAGAAGATTATTTTAAGCATTCATTTTTAGAAATCCATGCTGTCATTTGTGTCAATCCTTATAAAACTAAACTTTGAAACTCAATTTTAAAATAAATTGCAAAGTTCTACAATAAATAATTGTTTTTCCCCATGCTGCGTCTAATTAAAGAATAGCTATGCTGTCACTGGTTTCTGATCAGTGTACAAAAAGGATATTCTATTTTTCCTCCGGGTGAACTGCCTGCTGGTTTACAGTGGGGGTTTTTTGTCCTTTGGGTCCTGAGGACTTTCTCTCCAGTGTACTGATGTTTATGCTTAAATACTTACCGTACAAACATTTATACTGCATTCACATTTCCATACTATGATTAAGAATTATAACTAGAAATAAAGAGTGCTTTGGAATAACCACAGACCCTCATGACACAATAAAGACTACAGGATTCCCCAAGAGAAAATTATCTATTTTGAAATTTGAAATTTTAAAAGGAGCAAACTGAAAGTCATTCTCCCACTACATTTTACATTTAAGAAAAGAACTCAGAAATCCTCAGCTCCTTCTGTGCCTTGATCAAGTTTACTTAGATAACTAGTTGCACATGCCATCTAGTCACCTGACAAAACAACCTACTAAAATCTTTACAGGCTACAGCACATAAACATCTGATGCATTAAATCTGAAATTCTTTCAAACTATATATTTTATAAATGCTTCATGCAGTGTCCTCGTTCAGTCCAATGAAGTTAATGCTATCTGAAGGAACAGCTAGAAAAAATTCCATTA